ATTACTTGGATTCAATGTGTTTTTGTTTGGGAATGTTTCAAAGATATCCACAAAGCGCAGTCTTATCGGAGAGGGACGTTCAAATTGGATGCGTCATCAAATTAATAATAATAATAATAATAATAATAATAATAATGATAAAATAAAAAGATCACTTCAAACTCCCCCTCAACCTGGTGGCATAGGCGCTTCACATTACAATTTATGTCGACAGTTTACACAATGGCGTGTTTCATGCATTCCCGCCAATTCATTGTACAACAATTTACTCCACAAAAGAACGACACAAAACAGTCGTTCTGGTATCGCACAGCTATTGATCATTCGGCTCCCACTGCTAATAAGTACTTAGTGCGTTTGTAACCATAACAACATAACACAGATTGTCAAGAAAACAGACTCAGGTCAACCAAAGTTCAGGAGAAAAGTCATGCCATCGTTGAGCATGACTAGAAACCTTCAAACTCTAACGGTACTAGAGGTGAGCAAAATCCGGATGTATAACCGGAAAATCGGATAATCCTCAATAAGCACATTATCCGAATTCAGACTCTTAACTATCTTTCCCGACCCGTTTGCAGAAGTGAGTGCACCCATTCGTTGAAGTGATGCTTACCCCTTTGTCAAAGTGGTTTTACCCCATTTGCCGAATCGGTTCATAACATATTATTTACCAAAGAGGTGCACTAACACATTATTCGGATTTTGCTACAGCGACTCATTGCCCAGCCCTAAACGTTACTAGAGATGTATACTGTATGGTATTTCCCCCTCTGACTGAACGTATACTTTGGCCTTGACTAGTCCCCAACCTAACCTTAATTCTTTAAAGACCTATTTGTACGCACGGTTGCGTATGCACTAGTCCGGGGTTCTATTCATCCTTCTCTCCTCTTTCGGTCTATGTCTATACTATAAGATTTATGGAGCGTGAAAGGTTGATTAATCATACCAACAAGGTCTACATGGTAGTACTCTGTACATGATAGAGCACCTCTCTCTACCATTGACACATTTTTGTTCAAATTTCTGCACGCATATGCACACACATACGTAAACACACACATACACACACGCACACACACACACACACACACACACACACACA